ACTAGATAGGGAATAGGGTAGAGAGCTCTGGTTAGAAAGTAGTGCACTAGATAGGGAATAGGGTATAGAGCTCTGGTTAGAAAGTAGTGCACTAGATAGGGAATAGGGTAGAGAGCTCTGGTTAGAAAGTAGTGCACTAGATAGGGAATAGGGTAGAGAGCTCTGGTTAGAAAGTAGTGCACTAGATAGGGAATAGGGTAGAGAGCTCTGGTTAGAAAGTAGTGCACTAGATAGGGAATAGGGTAGAGAGCTCTGGTCTAAAGTAGTGCACTAAATAGGGAATAGGGTAGAGAGCTCTGGTTAGAAATACATTAGCTAAAATGTCTTTAAAACTATTTTTGCTTTGTCATTATGGGGTATTGTGTGTAGATTGAAAAAAAAACAATTGAATCCATTTTAGAATAAGGCTGTAACGTAACAAAATGTGGAAAAAGTCAAGGGGTCTGAATACTTTCCGAATACACTGTATACTACATTTACATTATTCTAATGTGTACTATTATAAAATCAAGATGCCTTAAAAGGGATTTTCACACTACTGAGCCGAACCGAACCGAGCCGAACCGAGCCGAGCCGAACCGAACCAAGCTGTACTGAGCTGGTCTGGTTACGCATCCTCCATAGTTACCGTAACCATGCCGACAAGGGACAATGTGTAAAGAAACTATCAGAGCCAGCGCGGTTTGGTCGAGGGTCAGCCCGATAGTGTGAAAGGGGTATTAGAGAGTACCGACAAAACGGAGTGACATGAGGCCCTGGCCGCTGATTGGCTGACAGAGAGGAAGTGAGCTCTTACCTCGAGGGTTCCACATCCCAAACAAAGGATGTAAAGAATGAAATAAAAAAAAACAATTAAAAAAGGAAGAAAATGATGAAGAATAATGAAGAAAGAATCAGATTCAGTTTAATTCTGAAGAAAAACATCAATCTAAAGAACTACAAAACATCCAGATATGGGTAGTAAAAGCCAAATGACTATTTGAGTTGAGACGGGACCTACCTGAGAAGTTTTTTGTAACCAGCAGAGTGGTCAAAATGGCTCCCTGAAAGAGTGGAGGGGGGAACAGAAAGACAAGAGGAAAGGAAGGAGAGAACAGAAAAGAGGAGGGAAGGAGAGAACAGAAAAGAGGAGGGAAGGAGAGAACAATTCACTAATGAAAGATTGTTAGAAAAGAGGAAAGATATGCTAATGGAAGACTGCAAGAGAAGAGAAGAACAGCGGTGGTACTGTAGTCTCTCCTGATTGGTTGATCATTTCAAACAGAGAACAGCGGTGGTACTGTAGTCTCTCCTGATTGGTTGATCATTTCAAACAGAGAACAGCGGTGGTACTGTAGTCTCTCCTGATTGGTTGATCATTTCAAACAGAGAACAGCGGTGGTACTGTAGTCTCTACTGATTGGTTGATCATTTCAAACAGAGAACAGCGGTGGTACTGCAGTCTCTCCTGATTGGTTGATCATTTCAAACAGAGAACAGCGGTGGTACTGTAGTCTCTCCTGATTGGTTGATCATTTCAAAGCAGGTGGAAAGAGGGAGAGAGAGGTGCTTGTCTTCATCCCAAATGGAACCCTATCCCCTAGATAGTGCACTACTCTTTGTTTTACAGGATATTTATTATGGTGTTTTCTTTTTGGCAATAATATAAAACAGAAACAGGCCTTTAGAATGAAAAATAAATAAAAATAAAATGTTTTACCCCTTTTTCGTGATATCAAATTGGTAGTTACAGTCTTGTCCCATCGCTGCAACTCCCGTACGGACTCGGGGAGAGTCGAAGGTCGAGAGCCGTGCGTCCTCCGAAAACACAACCCAACCGAGCCGCACTGCTTCTTGACACAATGCCCTCTTAACCCGGAAGCCAGCCGCACCAATGTGTGTCGGAGGGAACCCCGTACACCTAGCGACCGTGTCAGCGTGCACTGCGCCCGGCCCGCCACAGGAGTCGCTACAGCGCGATGGGACAAGGACATCCCGGCCGGCAAACCCTACCCCTATCCCGGACGACGCTGGGCCGAGTGTGTGCCGCCTCATGGGTCTCAGCCTGGAATAGAACCAGGATCTGTAGTGGCACAGCCTGGAATAGAACCAGGATCTGTAGTGACACAGCCTGGAATAGAACCAGGATCTCTAGTGACACAGCCTGGAATAGAACCAGGATCTGTAGTCACACAGCCTGGAATAGAACCAGGATCTGTAGTGACACAGCCTGGAATAGAACCAGGATCTGTATGACACAGCCTGGAATAGAACCAGGGTCTGTATGACACAGCCCTGGAAAAGAACCAGGATCTGTAGTGGCACACCTGGAATAGAACCAGGATCTGTAGTGACACAGCCTGGGAATAGAACCAGGAAACTGTATTGACAAGCCTGGAATAGAACCGGAATCTGTAGTGACACAGCCGGAATAGAACCAGGATCTGTAGTGACACAGCCTGGAATAAACCAGGATCTGTAGTGAAACAGCCTGGAATAGAACCAGGGTCTGTAGTGACCAGCCTGGAATAGAACCAGATCTGTAGTGACACAAGCTGAATAAACCGGATCTGTATTTACACAGCCTGGAATGAACCAGGATCTGTAGTGAACACAGCCTGGAAACTAAAAACCAGGATCTTGTGACACATGCCTGGAACAGACCAGGATCTGTAGTGACAGGAGCCCGATAGACCAGGATCTGTGTGACACAGTCCTGGCATCGAACCAGGATCTGTAGGTGGACACATCGCCTGGCAAGAACCACGACTCTGTAGTGCACCAGCCTGGAATAGAACCAGGATCTGTAGTGACACAGCCTGGAATAGAACCAGGATCTGTAGTGACACAGCCTGGAATAGAACCAGGATCTGTAGTGACACAGCCTGGAATAGAACCAGGATCTGTAGTGACACAGCCTGGAATAGAACCAGGATCTGTAGTGACAACCTGGAATAGAACCAGGATCTGTAGTGACAGCAGCCTGGAATAGAACCAGATCTGTATGCCACCAGCCTGGAATAGAACCAGGACTGTAGTGACACGCCTGAATATAACCAGGATCTGTGTGGCCACAGCCTGGAATAGAACCAGGATCTGTAGTGCACAGACCTGGAATAGAACCAGGATCTGTAGTGACACAGCCTGGAATAGAACCAGGATCTGTAGTGACACAGCCTGGAATAGAACCAGGATCTGTAGTGACACAGCCTGGAATAGAACCAGGATCTGTAGTGGCACAGCCTGGAATAGAACCAGGATCTGTAGTGACACAGCCTGGAATAGAACCAGGATCTGTAGTGACACAGCCTGGAATAGAACCAGATCTGTATGACCACAGCCTGGATCCAGGACTTGAGTGACCACCTGGAATAGAACAGACTGTAGTGACACAGCCTGGAAAGAACAGATTGAATGTAGACGAGCTCCTGGTTAGAAGAGTGACTAGAAGGGAATAGGGACAGGTCCGTTAACAGTGGCAAATAGGATATCAGATCTGTTAGAAACACTAGATGGAATGGTAGAGCCGTTAGAACGGTGCACTAGATGGACATATAAAGTCCAGAAAGCACTATAGGCGTACGGCCTTGGTAAAAGTAGTGCACTAGATAGGGAATAGGGTAAGAGCTCTGGTTAAAGTAGTGCCCTAGATAGGGAATAGGGTAGAGAGCTCTGTTAGAAAGTAGTCACTGATAGGGATAGGGTAGAGAGCTCTGGTTAGAAAGTAGTGCACTAGATAGGAATAGGTAGAGAGCCGGGTCTAAAGTAGGCACTAGATAGGGTGAGAGACAATCCCTGAGTTTCTGAAAGAACAGAGGATAGGAAAGAGGAGTTGTCACCTTGGGGTTTTCCTCCTGGCATTGAACTTCTTCAGACACTCCACAGTCTCCTGTCTATCATCATGCTACAGTGGACGTGTTGCTGAGAGAGATGAGAGAGAGAGAGCAGAGAGAGAGAAGAGAGAGAGAGTAGAGAGAGAGAGAGTGAGAGAGAGAGACTAAGAGAGTGAGGATCAGAGAGCGAAGAATAGAGCGAGAGAGAGAGAAGGGAGAGAGAGAGATGAGAGATGATATAGAGAGATGAGAGAAAGAGAGTAAGTAGAGAATGAGAGAGTAGAGAGAGAGAGAGAGAGAGAGATGTTATTTTATTCAGGGGAGCCCATTGAGACAAGGGTCTCATTTCCAATGGTGCCCTGAGGACAACAATTCCAATAATCAACATGATCAATACATAAACAATACAAATATTAAAACTACAAGACACAGTAACAGTTACAGATGACATGACATTTAATCAAAACAATTGCAAATCTCAGTGAACTCATTAATCATTAGGGTTTTAAACTGACCTAGTGACACCAGGGAATCCAAATGAGGAGAGTTTTAAACTAAAAGAGGATTTACTAAACTTAGTGGAGACAAGAGGGACCTCAAGAGTTAACCAACCCTTATATTTCTATATTTCAACTGGGAAGTGAAGTGAGGTATGTTGGAGCAGAACTCTGTAAACAAAGTGGGAGTATGGGAGTGATCTACGGGACTTTAATGAGGACCAGACAACCTTTTGATACAGGATGCAGTGGTGTTGTATTACACCTGTCCCCCTGTGTTACTATGGTAGACGGCATCAGAGGATTTAGAGTCTGTCTGCACTTGGATAATATGGTGTCCAGAACTGGCAGGAACGACCATCTGCTTCCTGCTGTTTAGGGAGAAGATCTAGTCCACTTTAAAATCGTAGCTTTTTAAACTAGCTCATTCGTATGTTTTTTTAAAACGTTGAATCTTTGTCATTCCAAACGGCAGATATTTATAGGAGAAGAAGAAGAGAGAGAGAGATCAGTGTAAGGGCTGTGTGTGTGTCTGTGTGTGTGTGTGTGTGTGTGTGTGTGTGTGTGTGGTGTGTGTGTGTGTGTGTGTGTGTGTGTTCATACACAGATCCAGGGGTGATTGAGGGCCTCAGCGGTGGTGATGCGTTTGCTGGGGTTGATGGTCAGCATCTTATTGATCAGGTCTTTGGCATCAGGAGTCACTGTGTCCCACTCTGGAGACGGGAACTTTTAAAACACCCCATTTCAAAACAATACTCAACCCCTTACAAAAACAATACCTCAATTTCATTCCACCAAAAATTTTTCCATCAATTCATTAACCCAAACCTAAAAAAAAAAAAAAAAATTAAAAAAAAAACCTAACACGCCCTATCAATTAATTTAAAATTCCAAACACCATTGCGGAATTGGGCAGGGGAGAGATAAGGAGGGGGAAAGAGAGAGAGAGAAAGAGAGAGAGGTTGGGGGGGAAAAAGATAGAAGAGAAGATTTCCTTTTCTACTCTAAAGGCTAATAAAATAATTTTTTCTACTCCTAAAACTCCTGGGGGAATTTTTTCCCACTCGGGTTCAACCCCCCCGGAAAGGGGGGACCCCCCTCCTGGGAAATCAGCTCTTTTTTTTTCCCCCCTTTTCTTCCCTTAAGAATTTTTTTGGGGTTTTTCTCACTTCTTTGAAATCCAGAAAAGATAAGAGAAAAGGTGTTGGGGGTTTTTTCACCGGTTTGTAGAGAGGGCCCGACAGAAGAGGAAAAAGGGTGTTTTTTTCACACTCCTCCCAAAATGGGAGAAAAAGGGAGGGGTTTAAAGATAGAAGATAAGAGTGGGTGGGATTTTTCCAACCTAAAACGGAAAAAAGAGAAGATTTTTTATTTAAAATAAAAATATAGGGGGGTATTTTCCCCGGGCCCTAGAAGTTCCCAAAGATAGGATAAGGGGGTGGGGTTCTCCTCCGTGGAGGGAAAAACAATGAGAGATAGAGGTTTTTTTGGGGTTTTCAAAGTCGTAGAGAGGCCGACAGAAGAAGATAAAAGGGTGGGGGTTTTCCAAAGTCGTAAAAAAGGGGAAAAGAAAAGAGAGATAGAAAGGGGTTGGGGGGGTTTCCAGTCTTTGAGAGTCAGACAGATGAGAAAATAGAGGGGTGGTATTTTTTCACGTTGTGAGAGGAAGTCAGCAATGAGAAAAGAGGTTTTGGGAGTTTCTCACGGGCGTAAAGAGTAACAATTAGAGAGATGGGTGTGGGGGGTTTTTCCCCTTTGTAGAGAGTCAGACAGAAAAGGAAAATAGAGGGGTGGTGGTTTCCCCACTCCTAAGAGGGGGAATTTAGACAAAAAGAAAATAATAGGGGGGTTTTTTGGTTTTTTCACGTCGTTTGAGATTTAGACAGATTAAAAGGAAAAGGTGGGAGGGGAAAAAAAGGTGTAAAATGGGGTGGGTTTGGGTGGGGTTTGGGGTGGTGGGTTTTTACATCCCTTTGAGGAAAAATTTAGACAGATAAAAAGATAGAGGTTTTTGGTTTCTCACGGTCGTTTGAGAAATCCAAAGATAGGGGAAAATAGAGGTGTGGTGGTTTTTCACTCGTAGAAGTTTTAGACAGATAGAAATAAGGGGGTGGGTTTTTGGCTTGGGTCCCAAAAATAAAAATAGAGGGGGGTTTTGTCAAACAGAAGAAGAAGGGTGAGGTGTGGTGTTTTTTCAAAGTCGTAAAGGGGCCCGACAGAAAATAAGATAGAGGTTTGGTTGTTCCCCCACTTTTCCCAAAAGTGGTAATGGGAGTTTTAGCCAGAATAAAAAGATAAGATGGGGGTGGGGTTTTCCCCACGTCTAGAGGAGAAACACAGTAGAGAATAGAGGTGTGGTTTTTCTCAAATTTGTTTGAGAGGAAGGGGTCAGACAGATGAGAGGTAAAAGTGTGGTGGTTTTTCACTCCTGAGAGGCCCGACAGAAGAGAGATAAAAAGGTGGGGTGGGTTTTCACTTTTGGAGAAAAGTCCAGACGATAGAGAGTAGAGGTGTTGGTTTTTCCCCACGTCGTAAAAAGAAAAAGGGGAAAAAGGAAGTTTTTAAAAACCGCAAAAGAGAGAAAAGAGGGGGTGGGGGGTTTTTCTCCCCCCTTAATTTCCCCGTGTAGAAGGGGAGTCAGAAAAAAGACAGATAGAGAGATTTGGGGTGGTGGTTTCACGGGCGTAAAAGGGCAAAAACAGATGGGAATAGAGGTGTGGTGGTTTTCACTCTAGAGAGTCCCGACGAAAAGGAGATCTGGGGTGGTTTTCCCCGGGTGGGGTGGGGGTTTTTCTCACGTCGTTTAAAAGTCAAAAACAGTAGAGAATGAGGTGTGGGGGCTCCACGTCGTAAAAAGAGTCAGACAATAGAGAGATAGGGTTTTTGGGGGGTTTCCTCTCTCCTTAAGTTGTGGAGCGGAGAGTCCAAAAGATAGAGAGATAGAGGTTTGGTAGTTTTTCCCAAAGTCCCAGAGATCAGACAATTTGAGAGATAGAAAGGGGGGGTTGTTTTTCCAAAGGCTTTGAAGGAATTTTAAAAAGATAGAAGATAAAGGGGTGGTTTTCCCCCCTCACCCTCGTAGAGATCAGACAGATAGAGAGATAGGGGGTTTTGGTAGTTTCTCCCTTCCCCAAAAGTGGGGTAATTTCCCCGTCGTAGAGAGGAATAAATCAGACAGATAGAGAATTTTAAAAGGTTGGGGGTTTTTCACGTCGTAGAAAGAGTCAACAGATAGAGAGAAAAGAGGTGGGGGGTTTGTTCTCCTCCCCTTTAAAAGGGGGCAGACCGATAAAAGAGATAGAGGGGGTGGTGGTTCTCACGTCGTAGGAGGAAATCCCAGATAAAAAGATAAGGGGGGTGGGGGGTTCTCACGTCGTAAGAGGCGAAGATAGAGAGAAGAGGTGTGGGGGGTTTTTTCCCCCGGGCTAGAGAAATCAGACAGAAGGGGAGAAAAAGAGGGGTGGTGGGTTCTCACTTTTATAGAGTCAGACAGATAGAAAAGATAGGGTGTGGTAGTTCTCCCCCTAAAGGGTAGAAAAAGGAGAGGGGGCCCAGCAGAAAGAGAAGATAGAGGTTGGGGGTTTGGGTTTTCCAAATGGGGAAAAGGGGAAAACAACAAAAGAGATAAGGTGTTTGGTGGGTTTTCACGTCGGGAAAATCGTCCGACAGATAGAGAGAAAAAAGGTTTTGGTGGTTCTCACGTCGTAGAAAAGGAAGATTTAAAACGTAGGAAATAGAGGGGTGGGGGGTTTTCCCGGCGTATAAGTCAAAACCCTCCCAAAAAGATTCTTTTTTTCACCGTAAATTTTAACGTCGGTAGAAGGGGGGAAGGAAAGTAGACAGAAAAGGAGGTAGAGGTGTGGTTGTTCTTTAAATTCCCAGAGGTCAGCCCCGATAGAGAGATAGAGGTGTGGTGGTTCCCCAAAAAGTCGTAGAAAAGGGATTCCCCAAAAATAGAGAGATAGGTGGTTTTGGGAAATTTTTCTCACCTTTGAAGGTCCCGACAGATGAGACTAGAGGTGTGGTGGGTTTTCACGTCGTAAAGGGGAGTCAGACAGATAAAAGAATAGAGGGGTTTTTTGGGGGGTTTTTCACGTCGTAGAGATAGAGGGCGAAAAGATAGAGAGATAGAGGTGTGGGGGGTTTTTTACGTCGTAAGAGTTTAGACAGATAAGAGAAAAGAGGTGTGGTGGGTTTTCCCCGTTGGGAAGAAAAGTAGAAAAATAGAGAAATGAGGTTTTGGGGGTTCTCCGTTTGTAGAAAAGGGGGAGTAACAGATAGAGAAAATAAGGTGTGGTTGGGGGTTTTTTTACGTCGGAGAGGTCAACCCGATAAGGGGTAGAGGTTTTGGTTGGGTTTCCCAAATTTGTTAAAAGTCAGACAGATGAGGAAAAGGGTGTGGTGGGTTTTCAATTTGTAAAAGTTCCGACAATAAGAATAAAAGGTGTGGTTTTCTCACGTCGTAAGAGTCAAGAAACCCCCCTTAAGGGGGAAGATAAGAGGGTTGGTTTGTTCTCAGTCCCTAGAGGGGGTCAGACAATAGAGAGAAAGAGGTGGGGGTGGTTCTCACTTCGTAGAGAGTCGAAAAATGAGAATAGAGGTGTGGTTTCTCCGTCGTAAAAGAGAGAAGATAAAAAGGAGATGAGGTTTTGGGGAGTTCTCACGTCGTAGAGATTTGACAGTAGAGAGATAGAGGGGTGGTGGTTTTTTCACGCGTAAAAAAGTCCCGACAGATAAGAGAAAAGAGGTTGGGGGTTCTCAAAAGGCGTAAGGTCAACAGATAGAGAGAAGAGGTTGGTGGGTTTTCACGTCAGAGAGGGGAGTCAGACAGATAGAGGATAGAAGGGGGTGGTGGGTTTTCCCCTCGTAGAAGTCAAACAATAAAGAGATGAGGGGTTTGGGATTCTCACTTTGTAGAGAGGAGAGATCCGCCAGATAAGAGATAAAGGTGGGGGGTTCTCACTTTGTAGAGGTCAGGGCAGATAGAGAGATAGAGGTGTGGTGGTTCTCACGTCGTAGAGAGTCAGACAGATAGAGAGATAGAGGTGTGGTGGTTCTCACGTCGTAGAGAGGAGAGTCAGACAGATAGAGAGATAGAGGTGTGGTGGTTCTCACGTCGTAGCCCCAGCCTTGATCTGCTGGTACAGTCTGTGCTGGTCCTCATCCCAGAAGGGAGGGTAACCGACCAATAGGATGTACAGGATCACCCCTGGCAGGAAGACACACACACTCATCACCCACAGATCAAAAACAACACAGTCTTGACCCCCAAAACCCGACACCTTTTGGAATTTCACTTCCTGAATTGTAATGGATTTGAGCCAACTTTCAACAGGGATCAACGATCTGGAACACTCAGATAGAAGTATGCTATTTAGTGTAGTTCCAGGGTAAAGGTCAAAGGTGTCATGACTCTCCTGACAGTGGATCAAAGGACTCAGTTTGGCAAATGGCTGACAACAAACAGACCCTCTCACCCACAGAAGAGGGGAGGGGGGTCTGGGCCGGTTTTTGACACCTTAACACTCTGCCTTAAATTAGGGAGGAGGGGAATCTCCCTCCTGCTCTGCAGTATTACTCAAATAATGTCTTCGTTCCAGAGAGTTTTTGCCGCCAAAACCTTTTTTGTCCAAAGAGTGAACATTGGAACATTTATTTCTATCATCTGAATGTTAAGAAGAATGGTCAGTGGGGACCTAAAGAATAATCATGTCATCTTGTTGATTATTTTGTGATGTCATTAAGGGATGGAAAGGGTACACATTATATTAGTCAAGTTTACATCTAAATGTTGTATAAAATATATGATTAGGTATGAGATTATTTTGGTGAAGATAGGAATGTGATTTTAGTCTTCTAATGAGATAATTGTTTTGCCCGGTCAGTAACCACGCCCCCCAAGTGAGCACATACATCGTGTTGGCGTGATGGAACGCCCCCTTTTTTTAACCGAGGATAAAAAGCCTTTTGGAAACGAAATGTACCTCAGACCTGCACGTTTAGAATGGCTGGAACGTTGAATCAGAGAGCAGAAAGACGAGAGACGGGGGGTCTACACGTCTGAAAATGGTTGGAACGTTGAATCAGAGACAAGGAAAGACGAGAGACGGGGGGTCTACACGTCTGAAAATGGTTGGAACGTTGAATCAGAGACAAAGAAAGACGAGAGACGGGGGTCTACACGTCTGAAAATGGTTGGAACGTTGAATCAGAGACAAAGAAAGACGAGAGACGGGGGGTCTACACGTCTGAAAATGGTTGGAACGTTGAATCAGAGACAAAGAAAGACGAGAGACGGGGGGGTCTACACGTCTGAAAATGGTTGGAACGTTGAATCAGAGACAAAGAAAGACGAGAGACGGGGGGTCTACACGTCTGAAAATGGTTGGAACGTTGAATCAGAGACAAAGAAAGACGAGAGACGGGGGTCTACACGTCTGAAAATGGTTGGAACGTTGAACCTCAACACGAGGTGATGAAAGATAAACTCACTCAGACTAGAACAGCGACAGTCTGCAGCTGTGCAATGTAAAGTGGTCTAGAACCTTTGACCTTGACTTGGGAAGGAGAATCCCATCTCGGACAATCCCTCGGTGCAGCTGAAGTATCTGCTCCATTTGAAAACACTCCACTCCACAGTTGCCAGGACAACTAATAAGAAGGACATTGTGACCTCCGGTGGACTTATCAGAGCCTTACACCCATCGACTCCTTCCCCGTAGAAGATTGGTTTCAACAGAGAGACGACGACGGAGAAGACATTCTACATGTAAATACATCGCATTTCTTACCCCAAAACGGGCGGTGGTTAGGGTGCTAAGTATTGTGATTACCGTGAGCGTAGGTTCCAAATGTATGTACGATGAGCTTGACTCTCTTTGTCCCTCTCTCCCTCCTTCTATTGACCCCTCCCTTTTTGATAAACCAAACAGTCATGCTGTTGTTAGTCCGCTAGGGACCTTTTCTCATGTATTAAGTATGCATGTATTCTGTGTTATTATTTAGTTAGCTAGTGAATAAATAATTAAACCAATTCGTGTATTACTGACTCATAAGTAAGGTTGGGGTTCTTGCGGATCCAAGGATTATGCGACGTTCAGAATGAGACTGATATGAGGTAATGATTAATAAGTGACTGATATAACATATATATATTTTAGAGTTACATTCGGGAGATGGTATCTCTATAAACAACTTCTTCCGTGGTGCCCCAAATTCCTAATGGGTTAATTGTTACATGATTAATTTAAATCGGGTAACAATTAAACATAGTCAGTTGATTCGATAAATAACAGTCATCACATTCATGAAAGTCACGTCACGACAAAGGTTAGAGGTCAAAGGTCGTTTGTTTTACCACAGGCCCACAAGTCCACAGGCTTCCCATAGGGGTCTTTTCTCAGGACCTCTGGAGACAGGTAGCCTGGGGGTCCAAAACCCGTAGGGAGGAGGGCGGGGGGGGAAAGGGGGGGAAGGGAGGGAGGGGGGGGGGGGAGGGGGTGGGGGGGGGAGGGAGGGGGGGGGGGGGGAGGAGGGGGGGGGGGGGGGGAGGGGGGGGAGGGGGGGGGGGGGGGGGAAGGGGGAAACCGGGGGGGTTGGTGAGTTTCCCGGTTTGTGTTGTTTGGTTTGTTTCCGCCCCTTTGTTTCTTGGTGGTCATTGTGTTTCCCCTCAACCCTTTTTTCTTTTTTTTACGGGCCCCCCTTTTCCCCCCGGGCCTAAGGGTTGGAAAAAAGGTTTAAACCCGGAAAATCAACAGATTTTCACCAAGTCAGCTCGGGGGGTTCGAAAACCAGCAACCTTTTTTAACGTAAACACCTGCCGCGTGGCAAATTAAAAAATGGTAAGAGGGTTGGGTCTATTCGGAGCAAGGCCCAGTCCCCTTAAAACTCACACTGTCATACCAGACCCCCTGTACAGTGCTGGCTTGCAGATTCATTTTCCCCTTACCTTCCATCAGTAATAGGCCAGCCCATACAGCTCCTTGGTTTGGCCAGTGGTTAAAAAAACCCTTTTGTCCGTCCATAAAAGAGAAGCCAGTCCACAGTACTCACCAAACCATGCCTGTTGGTCGCCCTGCACCTCGATGGCGAGCCCAAAGTCAGCTAGCTTAACCGCCGCCCCCTTCAGCTCTGGCCCAATGGAGGTTTTGGTGGAGGGGGGCGGATCAAATGGGGTTTGAGGGCAAAACTCCGGGTAAAACCCTTTGGGCCCTGACACGATGTAAACAGCTTTAGCCCCCACGCAAATCGTCACTATTGGCCCAAACTGCAAAGTCAGAAAACCCCCCCCCCCCCCTCTATTCCTACAATTGATCTTCTTAAATTTATTTTTAAACCCCAATTTAACTACAGGTTACCTTTTTACCCCCCAACCTTTCCACACTCTTACCCTTTTTCCCCACCCAACCCTTTAACAACCCCCTGAAAACCCATCTACCCCCAACCCAACCCCACGGCTAAACCCTTTTACCCTACCCCTAACCAAAACCGGGAAACCTTATACCTACCCAAAACCTTAAACCCCACTGTAAACCTTAAACCCCACTGCTAACCTTGTACTACCCCTAACCTTTTACCACCCCAACCAACCACATGCTAAAATTTAACCCAAAGCAACCCTTTTCTACCCCCAACCTAACCACACTGTAAAACCCTTTTACCTACCCCCAACCTTAAAACCCCACGAACCCTTAAACCCCCGGAACCTTAACCCCACGCAACCTTTAACCCCCAACCAACCAAGCAACCTTAACCACACGCAACCAACCACCCCAAACCCAAACCAACCCAACCACCCCAACCAAACCCCCGCAAACCTTTCCCCCACTGTTAACCCTTTTACCTACCCCTAACCTTAAAACCCCAAATGCTAAACCTTTACCTACCCCTAACCTTTAAACCCCAAATGTTAAAACCCTTTACCTACCCTAACCTTACCACACGAAACCTTTAAACCCCCTGTAAACCCTTTTATACCCCCTTTAAACCCCCCCCCCCAAAAACCCCTGCTAAAATTTATACCTACCCCTAACCTTAACCCCACTGCTAACCCTTTATACCCCCCCCCTAACCTTAACCACATGCAAACCTTTTACCACCCAACCTTTTAAACCCCATGTAACCCTTTAAACACTGCAACCTTGTACCTACCCCAACCTTATACCTACCCCAACCTTAACCCCCTGCTAACCCTTAACCACTGCTACTTATACTACCCCAACCTTAACCCACTGCTAACCAACCACACGAACCTTTTTAAATACCCCCAACCTTAACCACACTTAAAACCCTTTTCCTACCCCTAAACCCTTAAACCCCAAATTTTCCCCTTTAAACCCAGTAAACCAAAACCCCACTGCTAACCTTTACCACCCAAATTAAACCTGCAACCTTAACCACATGCTAAACCTTTAAACCCCACTGCAAAACCATTTTACCCCTAAACCTTCCCCACTGCTAACCCTTTAACCACATGAACCTTATACCACCCCCAACCTTAAACCCCACTGCAACCCTTTTACCTCCCCCAAACCCTTAAAAACCCCACTGCTAAACCCAACCACTGCTAAATTAACCACATGCTAACCCTTTTACCTACCCCTAAAACCTTTAACCCCACTGCTAACCTTACCCCCACTGTTTAAAACCTTAACCACCCCGCTAACCTTTTACTACCCCCAAAATTACCACCCTGTTAACCTTAACTACCCCTAAATTAACCCCCCGTAACTGACCTACCCCCCAACCAACCCACTGCTACCTTAACCACCCTGCTAACCTTATACCTATCCCCCTTTAAAACCCCTGCAAAACCTTTAAACCCCAATGCTAAAATTAACCTACCCCCCCCCAACCCTTACCACACTGCAACCCTTTTACTACCCCAACCTTTACCCACCCCTAACCTTAACCCCCTGCTAACCTTAACTCCCCCAACCTTAACCACACCAAAACCTTATACCTACCCCAACCTAACCCACGCAACCTAACCCCCAAATTTAATTTTTACCTACCTCTAAACCCTTAAAAACACGCTAACCTTAGCCACCCCCAACCTTAACCCACTGCTAACCCAACCCCCCTGAACCTTTAAAACCACCCCAACCTTAACACAGCTAACCTTAACCACATGAAAACCTTTAAACCACCCCTACCTTAAACCCCCCTGCAACCTTATACCTACCCCTAACCTTAACCACACTGCTAACCTTAACCACACTGCTAACCTTATACCTACCCCTAACCTTTAAATAAAATATACAGTATATTTTCATAAAATTTTTTAGAATAGCAATTTTTG